AGTAACTATATAGTTACTTTATAGCTACTTTATAGCTAATTACAAGTAGTATTAAAGTTGCAAATTTGCAAGTTTCAATAAAGTATATATTAAACAAATTCATAAATCAATAAATTAGTATGTGTGTATATACAGTATAAATTAAGTAATTTTTATTTATTTATAGTACTTGTAATTTTTAAATTCATATTGTCTTTGTATAAATACATTCTATTAATTTTAATTTATTTAAAAATATTAAAAAATTTATATTACAAAATATAATCTCTACAAGAATATATACTTTTTTATCAATAAATTAAAAAAATAAGATAAATTAAAAATAAAAATAAAAATAAATAGAAAATTTCATAATTTATACTGGTGTATATATACAAGTATTAATCCATAGTTTACAAATTATATAACATGCAAATTTATGAATAAAAAATTAAATCTTTGCTTATGGTGAGGGTAAAGGTTTGTTTGGAATTGGGGCAAAGTATAGTTTATACCAAAATATTGCAAGAAATTTTTTTATTAGAAGCCAGGTAATTTCATAATCAAATTTTGAGATATCAGTTGGTTTCTATATGGCCTGTGTATATACACCTGTGTACAAATAAAAATTGCCAAATAAATAAATTTAAAAAAAATTAAAAAATTAAAAAATCATATAATTATGAAAAATCCTTTTACAAAGTTATTTTTGCAGCATGTAAAATAACTGCATTTTAATTTCATAAAATTTTTAACCACTCAACCAATGATGCAATCCATTTTGACCAATGAAAAACGATATTTGTATCCATCCAATGGGAACTATTGGGAAAATTAGTAAACCCTAGTAAAACAACTTCAATTCTGTAACATGCAGATGTTATATAAATAAACTATGTTGAGACATTTTTTTAATTTATTTTATTAATGTGGTGAAAATTATGAATTAATAAATTTTAATCATTTTTTAAACGATTAAGTTATAGAGGCCTACAAAAATTTACGTATTAATATTAAATATGAAACATAGTTTTAAAATCGCAATATTTATACGCTCTTTACAAGTTACAGAGCTGAATTTGCTTTACTAGAAAGATAATTAGAACATTTTAAAATGCACGATTTAGTTATATTAAACGATTAAGTTGTGGAGACCGGTGAAAAATACTTATTAATAGTAAATATACAATATAGTTTTTAAAATTGCAATATTTATACACCCTTTACAAGTTACAGAATTGAATTTGCTTTACTATAAAGATAATTAAAAATACTCAATTTTTATATAAAATTACTAGAATAAATTTTTTGATCGACAAAAATTTTAAAAAGCTTAGTGGGCCAATGATATAGCGCTACACTATGATAGTAAATCATTTTGTATCTAACACCCCATCCTCGGAACAGTATCGTACGCTGAGATTTATCTGAATCTTGCAAAAACTAATTTTATTTCTCAGCAAAGCCCGTATTTCAGCTGCTTTTATATTTTCCAATAACCAAATCGATAAGTTATCGAGTTAGTATCAATAAGTTACTGACGTTGGCTGATGTTAAAAACTTTAACATTTCGGTTATTTTTAAGTGTCATAGAATTTATAAAAACAGCCATAATGCAGATCTAAAAATTTCATATGTATAAACATATTTGTTATTTTTAAATTCTGTCAACTATTAAATCGACGATTGAAAAAATGACTCGGGTCAGTTATTAAATGATGATTATAAGACTTGCATACAATAGTAAAACTGATTAATCTTATACCGTATTGGTAATGACATAACACAAAGTAACTCTTTTACTGTCATGTACTTTTTTCTTCGTAGTACTTAAGGATTTACAAGTTACAATTGTCTATCACCAATGAGAAATAAGCAGAGGTTGAAGAACAGAGATATCTATGATAAGCACCTAACTAGGGATTGGAACCGTTTAACCGTTAACTGATTAACCGATCATCTAATTTAATCAGTTATAAAATTTTTGGACAGCTAAAAATGATGCTGTATTTTATTTTTAAAGGCTACATATCAATAAATATCAAATAATGCATATATAGAGATGAAATTTACTATCTCAGTTAAACAAATACTTGAATAGAGCAAATGAAGGTAAAGCCTATTTACACTTTGGATCCTCTTATAATACATGATATTATATATGCACATACGTACCGTATGTATGCATGTTTATTGGTTTTTTTTGTATATTACTTACTAATTGTTTCCGTACGAAAATTCTTTTGTTAGGTAATATTGCAACCCCAAGTTGTTCGTATGAACAGTGAATATTTTTTTACTACAAGTTCTGAAGTTCGTTTAAAACTTTCGGATCTCAATGGATCAAATAGGAAAAGGCAGTTCGCTTATATGTAAAAACGGAAAAAAAAATATGAATTTTTTTCTAGTTATTCTAGTTAATTTAAACTAACTCTTACGGTTTACCATAAAATTTTTTTTGGCTAACGTATTATTCATACTATAAAGTGGTATTTAGAATATAATCTCAAAATTAAGAGACTTTGCTTAGAAGTCAAACTTACTGTCGTCTATTGGACCGTGTAAAGTATACTGTGAAGTAAGATAATTGGAACGTTTTTTCTTAAGACATTAGATTCAAATTAACTTTTATTACTAACTGTTTAGTTTGAATAAATACAGGCTCTTTATATTTGTTGGTCTTTGTAGTGTGTTGGGTTGGTTAACTGTAAATTTAAATTTTTGGTTTATATATTGTTGTATTGTGATTATTTGAATTTATTAATAATAAATATCACTTTATGTGTATCAATCTATTCTCTAAATATATATAATAAAATATTATATACAGATTTGTTAGTTTGAAAGATTTTGATATGAATTTTCTCTTGTCTTCTAGTAATCTTAGAGCGATGAATTTTTAAATATTATGTAATTTGATGGGTAATCACGGGCAAATCATACAAATATTGTCCAATTAAAACAACCTTATATTATGCTTTTTTCAAGAATTTGCATAAGAAACTGCTTTTCGTGCATTAACAAAAGTTTTCCTATATAAACGTACTCTCTAACCCCAAAAACCTAAGAAACTAAAATTCCATCCTCACTTACAACATATATATCAATATAATTGATTCATGCAAAAACGATAAATTTTGTATATGGTTTCCGAATGTGTTCTGAAATGTCTACAATCATCTGATCGTGAATTTTTTCATTCACCACTATTCTACCTGTCAAAACGGTAAAATTAAAGATCTCGGTTGTTGTGATATCGAGTCAGTAACTATCGTTTTGTCATTACAACCAGATTATCTTTCCATAACAGGCCAAGCTTTTGACAAAAACGTTCGGTTAGAGAGCAATAAAGAAAAAAAGAACGTGATTACAGAGTTTAAGCACATATTTTGACCAGGATTTGAACACTAGCTTGCATTTAAAGGGTATTACATAGGTATTCAGTAAATTAGTACTGTACGGCAATACAAATTTTGATCGTATGTAACGGTTAATATCGGATATTGAGTTGCAAAATTCAATTTTACAAGTAATCATTTTTAATGGTTAAAGGTAGAGTAAGCACTAGTATTGTCCTGTTTCACGTTGGGGTTAGTAGGAAAAGTAACTTTGGTTTGACGAATTTTTCTTTTACAAACAGTATGCAATATCTTGATTTCTATACGTCCGTCCTAATTTGCGATTACTGTATACCCGTATTACATTTGAGTGTTGTATTTAAAAATGTCCCACTGTAAAACTTTTATAATAAAGCCAGCTCTAAGATATTGGAATAGAAATCCTGTTTAAATTTTTTCTTTATATTAATCAAAAAAAAATTAATTATAATTGATAAACCTAATAAAATATTAAAAAAATTTTGGTTTTATAACTTAGCCGAATTAGTCTGCAGTTTTTTTAAAATTCTTTTTTGCAATAAAAAGAATTTTTTAATTGTCTATTATCTGTTTGCCTAATTTTTTAATATTTTCATTCATTAAGGAAAATTTTAATATTTCAATAAATATATTAGTACATTATTGCAAAGATTGTTAAAGTACAAGACGAAAAAATAACTATAGCATGGTTTGCAATGTTTCAGTAGAAACACTCAAAATTGTTGAAGAACATTGTCCTGAAGGACTACAAAGAGCTCAAGGCCCATCAGAAGTAATGTCAATTCCAGTTCTTTTGGAAGTTCATAGATTCAACATTACAAAGACGTAAGTACGACATTGATTTACGTACTTTGTTCAATGTGTAACATGGGGCCCCACATCAAAGGTGATGATGGGGCAAAAAATTAGTTTTTTAAGATTGTGTTCTAAATAATCTAATTTTTGCAAAAATAAAGGTTTTACAAAAATTTTTCTTTAGCTCATCACCACCTTTTACTGTGGAGCTGCATGCGTGAAGTTTGATTGCAGAACTAACCATGTTGCATGCGTGAAGTTTGACTGCAGAACTAACCAAACAACCCAGCCAATAATTCCATATACTACTCACCCTCGTCGTCGGGCTGAAAAATACATCTTCACTACGGTTTATATGGAGAGAATACTATAAGTACTTTACTATATCGATTTGAAGTTTAATGATTTCGTAACTCAAAATTCTTCACTATATAGAATCTTCATTATATCGATATTGAATTTTCACTATATCAAATCTTCACTATATCGAGAGTTTACTATAACGAGAGTGAGTTGTACATAGATTCCTTCGCTTGTACTATTAATCCGTACACTCACAACACAAACAACACAAAATAATTAATATAGCATAAGGTTAAAAGTTAATTAATTTTTGCTTTAATAGTTAATAAAAATAAAAAATACATTGTAACGTAAATTAATTAATATTAATTCAATAAAGGGTGATCTGTATTACGTGGAAATTAATTATACAGTATTAATTGGTGCTAATTTCATGTTTGTTTACTGTACAAATAATAGTGTTACTTATATATATGATATGTAAACCGTCGAATTATTAAAAATATTTCTGAGACAATAATCCGCAAAGTCAATTTGCCAATTCAATTTGTCAATTCAATTTGCCAAGTCAAATTTGCCAATTCAATCAAACATTGCTTTCCACAAATTTATTTAGTTAACTATCAAATAAAGGTATTTATAAATTTGTAGTACGCATGTAAGCTTGTTTGAACATGTGTACATATGTACTTATGTATGTACGTACGTACAGCGTCTATAATTATCCTGCAAGCATGGTTAATAATATAAATAAATATCAATTTGGTCTAAAAACAATTTTTACGGACCTTTCATTAATTCTCGAAATTCCTTTCGCCTCATTTCTGCGATAGAGTTAATTAATAACTTATTCACATTCATTTTTATAGTATTCTTCCAATTTCTTTAACAAACTTTTGAAAAAACCTTCTCTTAAAAATTTTCATTATATATATTTTTTTACAATTTTCATTAA